GGCCAGCGCTCCTTCCGGCCGGTGCTCTGCGTCCCTCGCTCGAACAGGGGTCCCTTGGGAAAGCTCGAGGCGAAGGCATGCGGGGAGGGCGAGGAAGCATGGCCCGCTCGGACCAAGCGCTCTCCCTGGCGCGGGGGTGCGGTCACTCATTCACAGACGTGCGCTGCTCGTGCCCGTGTCTCCCCGGGTCCCTCGACTGGTGGCCGGTGACAGACTGGGGCACACTCACGCCCCACCGCACTTTTACCTGATTGTGTGAGCTTGTTGATCCGTCGTCCTGGCTCTGTCACCCCGGTGTGCCCGGCCGTCCGCCGCACCTTGGAAGGAGGGACCCCCGCCGCCCGCGGGGTGAGGTGAGCCCAGCGGCCAGGACAAGGTGGCCTGGGAGTGGGGGGGCCTCAGGAGCCGCTGTGCGGGCAGAGCGGGCGCGGCACGGGCTCCGGGGACGCCGCTGTCCGCGTTTCCGTCACGAAGCGGGGAAGACGCCGTCAGCAGGGCCTGAGGACAAGCAGAGCCCAGGACTCTGCCGCCTGAGGGCGCCGCGGCCGGCCCCGGGCGCCAGGGGGCGGTGTGGGGCGGGGCGGTCCGACGGGACGGAGACGGGGCCTCGCGGGGGCACACCCGCTGGTGACACTGCAGACTGCAGGCGCGAGTGCCACTGCAGGCGTGGGCGGGGCGCTCCTTCTCACAGCCCTGTTGCTGGCAGGCTGAGTGGACTAGGTGCGGGTTTGGAGACTGGCCGGAAGGCGTTTGCGTCCGGGCGAGTCTGCGCGCTTTGCTTTGCACCCCTGGTCTGTCATTAGTCACATAACGTCGCCACAACCGGGATTCTCAGACTTAGAGTGACGCTTATGGTGCGAACTCACTGTTGCCATTGGGTCGTTGCACACACACGCATGCAGCATGCACACACGTGTACACACAACGCAGCCTCATGAGGAAGTCGGTGCCGAGTGTCTTTCATCTGGTGGCTTGAGCCTGAGCTGCCATGACCCACGGAGGCCACAGCCCCTGCACACTCGCCCTGTGGACACCGCACTCAGGCCAGGTAAGGCTCTGCCAGTGCTGTCCCCAGCAGGTGCCCAGGAGGCTGGCTGGGAGGGGCCGGGCAGCGAGGCCGAGCGGAGAGGAAGGCGCAGGCGCAGTGGGCCCTCTCACGTGCGTGCGCAGCCGGTTCCGGGGTTTTTCTGTGGCTTCTGCTCCATTTTGATGCTGCTGTTTTATCTTTCATCTCTAGTTTTTCCGCTCTCCTTAACGAGGGGCAAATCCGTGTTTTGACGACTCCGTGTTGTCAGCTTGTGGTCTGATGGTCACATGTCATGCGTGGTATGACAGCTGACCAGCAGGCCTCTCCCCCACACAGACGCTTGCCCCACATGTGGTCATTGTCGCCTCTGCCACTCTCCCAAACTGGGTGACAGCGTCAAGCAGAGACTGTGCTGTTTTCCTTTTCGTCGTTTGGGGGAGAACATGGAGGAGGAGCCATCTCTGGCCCTCATTCACCTGGGACCTGTCCCCTGACCACCGCCGGCTGTGCAGCCTTCACCATGAGGGCCGGGCCTCCCAGCAGCTGCAGCGAGGATTAGGGGACTGGGCGTGTGAGGCGACAATGTCATTCAACACAAACAGCCTCTTAAGTTAATCCAGTGCAGGGAAAATTTGGGTAAAAAAAGGAAACCGCTTTGTGAACTGGAGTTTTCCTCCCTGCATAGTTAGTTCCTCCGGGCAGTGTGCAAAGGCGCAAATTTTACATCTGCGTGAAATGCACAATTTCCCTTTAAACCGACACTGTGAGGAGTTCCTTCCTTAATTGTTGTGCAAAGCAGCTCAAAATGGCTAGTTGAAAAGCAGCTAACTCCCCGCCAATTAGCTGCTGCTTTGTTCATAGCCGCTGCCTCCCCCCGGGTGAGTGTGCGTGTGTGCGTGTGTGTGTGTGTGTATGCGTGTGTGCGCGCGTGGATGTCAGCACTGAATACACTTGGCTGGGCTGCTCCCCTCGCCTGCCATCTTGTCGTGTGAGCGCTGAGGTAAGCACAGGAGCTAAAAATGTTTTTAGGTGGGAAAGTCAGTAGCTCCTGTGCCTCGAAATGGAAACAATGCATTTGTTTAGCAAGGAGAGGTCATCGTTATGACAGGTAATTTTATAAATATTGTTTTGACAGACACTATAATGTGCCAGAGGCAGAAAACCATACAGTGGAACACGTGAAGTATTTAAATTACTTTTCTTAAAATGAACTTAATGTTTTAAATAATAGATGTTTACCTCCCAGGTTAAACCTTAAGTATTCCCGTTTTCACCGAAATGGCATGTTTTTAAAAAGATGAAGTTATACCCAGAATCCGTTGCATTCTACATACCATCAGTTAAGTGCCACAGCTAAGTCCCGGGGGAATTTTAAATTGTCATTTTCAAATCCTCTGGCCCTAGACGGAGCTGCCTCCTGACACTGTGGAACATGCCGTAGCCCCTAAAAAGGAGGTTTCGGTTAAAAACTCATTTATATGTGTTTGCATTAAATTTCACAACTGAAACACCGAGTGACAAACTTTGTCTCTTAATCGATCTCTGGCTTTATTTTCACATTTCGTGTTTTAAAAACGTAGGTTTGCGCCTAGTAGGGAGTTACTTTTCCTAGTAAGTTCGTTAATCGGCCAGAGACTGGCATCCTGCTCCCAGCACGGACCGGGCCTCGGTCTCTGTCCGGACTGGTCCTGTTTGTGTGGAGACGTCCAAGTGTTTGTGAGAGAGAAAGATGTTCTGTCCACACAGGACAGACACATCCCTCCTGCACAGGAGGCGTCTGCGGGAGGTGTTGGGTGCCGGGCTGGCTCCTGGCAGGTTCTCTGTCAAGACCTTGGCCTTTACATGCACCACAGACCAGGAGCATGGCAAGGGGATGGAGCAGGCACGGGAGAGATGCCCCACACCCATGCCAACCACCAGCCATCCCTCAGCCCTGCTGTCCCCAGGTCGCCATGCAGGCCTGAGACGAGCTCCCTCTGCGAGCATAAGCCTCACACTCGCCCATAGTCCAAGGTACTGGGGACCAGAGCACCGGGACAAAAGCTCTGCTACTTTAATGTGGAAGATTCACCTGAAAGATGCTCATACTGCGTCACAGATAAAAAGAGTTAAACTAGACACCTGACTCTCTCCACCAAAGCAGCTCCTGAGGGTGCAGGGGGCTATGAGTGTGTGTGCGTGAGTGTGCATGTGTGCATGCTGTGTGTGCAGGTGCATGAGTCTGCACGGGTGTATGTGTGTGAGTGCGTAGGTGTGCATGTGTGCATGTGTGCATGCTGAGCATGCGGGGGTGTGTGGGTACATGAATGTGCACGGGTGTATGTGTGTGAGTGTGGCTGTGGACAGACCAGTGAACATCTATGCTGTAGGGCAGGTTCTCTGTAGCTTCTGCTTGTCCCCCCTCCTCTCTGTCCCCTGAGAGCCCTGTGTGGTGACAGGGCAGTGATCTGCTGACCTGGGGGCTCCTAGTTGTCCGCTGGCCACACGGCCTGGACAGGTGGTCTTGGCTTCGCTGTGCATTTGGAAGTGTGGATAACATTGTCACGTGACTATCACTAAGCTTCAAGAGCACAGTTTGGCTCCTCAGAATCTCACATGTCACAGTTACCTGCTGTCAAAGCTGCTAAAGTCAGTCGAGCAAGAAGACTGAGTCCAGGTGTCTGAGTCCAGGTGTGGGGAGGAGTGGGGCAGCACTCGCTGAGCCTCCGTGGTGGGCACTGCGAGCCCTTTGCCGGGTGGTCCCAGGACCCTCCCCGAGCTGTTCCCAGCGGTGTTTGCCCCTTGGAAGTGGTGTCCCCATGGGGATCCAGACTATCCTGTTAAAGGTAAAAACAGACCGCGGTAAGGAGGACCTGTCGCCGAGGGAGGCCCCGCTGCGTGACGCAGAGAAGGGTCCAGACAGGTTGGGGCGTGCCTGGGGCCCACTGCCCACCCCCTGGCTCCGGCTCTCAGCCCACGGGTGGCGGTCTGCAGTGCCAGGCAGCATGGCCTGGGACACAGGGGCAGGGGCAGGGCTGTGGCGTACATGGCCAGTGTGCAGGCTTGTGTTGTGTGACACTGGTCACCGACGGCCACAGACCTAACTCCCAGGAGCTTTCTGCAGCAGGTCTGGGGCGCAAGCCAGTGGGCACCCAGGTGGCATTTAGCTACCATCGGCCTTTGAAGTGAGCGGCCCAAGCCAGGCAGAAAGGGCCGGTTGTGTTCCCGTGCCCGTTAGTGGGTCAGGACTGTACTGGATGAGGGGCCCAGGCCCTGTCCTGTTGGGTGCACAGAACCTACTGGGGGTGGGGGCGGTTCGGCAGACGGCGTGGTCTCAGTGTTGTGCCAGCTTTCTGACGGGGCCACCAGCTACACGCCAGCCACACAGTGCACACTCACCCAGGTGGATGCAGAGGGTGGGGTTGAAGACAGGCAGCCACCGGCTGGGAGAGACTGCTCTGCCACCAGGGATCAGGGCTCCCCCCTCTGCTGTCTCAGGGGGCTCGACCTGCAGAGCACGGCCATGAGTTTCATCGCCGCCGTCGTCCTGGATGCTGGTCACGATGGTGGGCCTGGCAGTGTAGCTAGTGTGCGTGCTTGTGCGAGTGTGTGTGTGCTCCTAAGCATGCATGCACACAGGTGCAAGTCATTACACATGTATATACATATGTGTGTGGTGTGTGCTCCTGTGCACGTGTGCACACGTGTGCAAGTTGGTACATATGTATGTGCACACATGTGCAAGTGTGTGTGTGCGATCGTGGGCAGCAGGAGTGTGCGAAGCTGACCGGTCCCCCAGAGCTGCAGGCCGTCGTGGAACGGGCCTTTTGCAGGCAGCTCCTTTGATTGTGCTGCGGGGAAACAGAAGGGCGGGGAGGGGGCTAACACTTAGCACCTGTCGCGACTGTGCCTTTTGAATTGATCTCTGCTCATGAAACTGTAATTGATCGCGAGCGTCTGCACAGGGTGCTGAGTGGGTTTGTTCTCCCGCCAGCTCCACGGCTACGTGGAGAACGAGCCGCTGACGCTGCAGCTGTTCATCGGGACGGCGGACGACCGCCTGCTGAGGCCACACGCCTTCTACCAGGTGCACCGCATCACGGGGAAGACCGTGTCCACCACCAGCCACGAGGCCATCCTCTCCAACACCAAGGTCCTGGAAATCCCGCTTCTGCCGGAAAACAACATGCGTGCCATGTAAGCCACCGCCGGCCCCGCGGCCTCGGGGCGCCCGGGCTGGGGCTGCGGCCGCGCGTTCTCCCCATTCATAGTTGCCCCCACGTCCCCGCAGCGCAGCCGCCCGGGGGCCTCGGCTTAACGCATAAATCACCCTCACAGGTGTTTACGGCAGCAGGGTGGGCGTCTTCTTTGTGGGGCTTCAGCCACTGAGCACGTTGCCGTGCAAACGCGCAGTCCCATAGCTGGCAGGACCTCCCCAGGCCAGCGTCCAGCTCCCAAGCACGACACCGGGAGTGTCGAACACGACGGTGCGAGTTAGGGGAGCAGTTAAAACACACACATCAGACGATGGACGGGAACAGTGTGGCTGGGAGGTATTGTTCCTGAGCCTGGGACGGGGCAGATGTGACCAGCCCTGAAGTGCACCCTTGGCCCGACTCGCTGGTCTAGGGGTGAGCTCATTAATGAGCTGAATCTTCTCACATGTGAGCAGGGCCGGTGTCCATGGCGTCACTGAGTCCTGCTGATAGAGGACTGTCACGTGCCCTGCACTCCACTCCTGAGCTGTAGGCACAGCAGAGAAAGAGAACAGGGTTGTCCAGAGGATTTACGTCCTGCTAGGGCCCTCGGGGAAGAGACACAGAGAATGACATGGTCCGCTGTTCAGAGCGCTCAGTGGCACTGGTGGTCAGTGCAGTGTCTCTGGGGAGGACTCAGCCTGCGGGGAGCTCAGTGTGCAGGCAGGGCCACCGTGGAGGTTGGTGGGGCAGACGTGTGCAGGTCCTGGGCAACAGGGCATTCGGGGTACAGGGTCGGGAGGAGCCAGGGTGCTGTGTCCTGGGGAGGGAGAGATAGGGGGCCACACTGCAGGATTCCGGGTGGGTATTGCAAGTTCATGATTGTTGAACCCTCTAAGTTGAAAACAGAGAGAAAACTTTGTCTCCCTGTTGGCTTTTCATGGGTTTGGGGGAATTCGTGTGGCTCTGAGTTCTTTCTCTTAAGAGCTGTGGTCACAGCCCCCGAGGACCAGGAGTCAGGTGATTGAAGAGGACCCGGTGCCTTCACAGCAGAAGCTTTGGCTCTGGCACAAGAGCATCCCAGATGCACCAGCTGACCTGGGGTGGGGACGTCACGGCAGCGAGCCCAGGGGAAGGTCCTGGGCTCCAGCCAACGGCGTCCCCGGGGACTGTTCTGCTGGCGTCTAGCGCTGCATGAAACAATTAAGTTAAATGAAGTTAAGCAAAACCATACGACACTGGAGAAAATTTGGGATCTTAGCTGAGTGATGGGGCTGTGCCAGAACCCGAAATAAACGGGGTGTTTCAGGTGGCCCCATGCAGTGGGAACTCCAAGGGGGAGCAGCGGGCCCGGCTCTGTCCCTGCTGCCCGTGGGGGAGACCAGAGTGACGGTGACAGCCTGGGCCACAGGGAGCAGGGCGAAGCTGGCAGCAGTAGCGGGGAGGCCGTCTGCCCCTGCTGCAGCCCCGCCGCCCTTCACCGGCTGCCAGCTGGTTTGTACCGGGCCTCACGGCGGGGCTGGGTGGCTCCCACTGTCACTAGGCTGAGCGGCCGCCGAGGCTGCAGAGCCCCTCCGCCCACAGCTGGTCACATGTGTGCTGTCTGCCTGCAGCATCGACTGTGCCGGGGTCCTCAAGCTGCGGAACTCCGACATCGAGCTGCGCAAGGGCGAGACCGACATCGGCCGGAAAAACACCCGCGTGCGGCTCGTCTTCCGCGTCCACATCCCGCAGCCTGACGGCCGCACGCTGTCGCTGCAGGTCGCCTCGAACCCCATCGAGTGCTGTGAGTGGCCCCCCGACCAGGGCCAGCCGCCCGCATGCGGGAGCGTTCCCTTCCCAGGGTCGCCCTTCCTTCCTGCTTGTCTGTGTGTGTCGCCTGCGGGCTGTGCTTCCCCGTCACACACGCGTCACTGTGCAGTCACGAGCACAGCGCCCCTTCCTCCGGGCACAGCGGCTTGGCTGTGGGCCCTGAGCCCGGGCACGTCTGGGGAAAGTAAAAAGGAAAGTGAGTCTGTCCCCAAACACAGACATCCTCAGGGACCACGGATGGATGACGTCACAGTCAATCCCCTCCTGTCTCAGAAAGCTTGAGAAAGTGGCACGGGCATTGCAGTCCGTGGGGTGGAACACGCCACGTGTGACCCCCTTGCCTGGCGCCCGCTCTCGCCAGCAGCCTTCCTGTGTGATCCAGATGCTCTGGCCTCAGGCCTGACCGCTCTGCTCCTGCAGGGGCTCGGTGGCCGCCGCCTGGGGTCCGCTTCCTCTTGTGATGACTTTGCTCATTTTTGTTAGCAAATTGAGCCACTGGGGAAGCTCAGTGTGGCTTGTCATTCCCTGGATCCTCAGGGAGGGGTGAGATTGGGGTTCTCTGGGAGGAAGCACGGTGAGCCTGGCTGCGGCCACCGGCCATATGGCAAGGCTCCACACCGTCCTCCTTCCTCGCCTCTGAAGGCATGGGCTCACTCAGGAAACACCTTTGGCCCTATCTTATGGGGAGGGCCTTGGTTTGGGTCCTTCGCTTCTGACTTCTGCCAGGGGCTACCCCGTCCACGCCCCTAGCCCCTTGCCTGCGATGGTGCTGGTCCTGCTTTGCTGTCCCCTCTGTCTCCCCGCTCTTGCTGGCCCCCCACGTTGTCTCGCAGATAACCTGCCACAGCCGGCGGGGCTGCAGACCGCTCGCTCACCTTTCTGGGTGTGGCTCCTCTGTGAGATTGGGAGTCCAACCCTCGCTGGGGGGGCTGCGTGAGAACCCTGGGCGTGTGGCCACCGCCACCGTCTGCTTCTGGCAGAAACTGCCCGTCCTGCTTCTCAGGACAGCATGGCCTCGCCCAGCATTGGGTGAAGTGTGTGGCTGTGCTTTGTTGTTTGCGGCGATGCTGGGTCGTGCACCTGGTCACCAGAGGAGCCCCTGAGAGGCGTGAGGGAGGAGAGGCGGCCCTGGTAGCTCGCTCACCCCCGCTTTTGGCCCCTCGCAGCCCAGCGGTCGGCACAGGAGCTGCCCCTCGTGGAGAAGCAGAGCACAGCCAGCTGCCCTGTTGTCGGCGGGAGGAGGATGGTCCTGTCCGGCCACAACTTCCTGCAGGACTCCAAGGTCATTTTCGTGGAGAAGGCGCCAGGTACCTGCACCAGTGCGGTTTCTGCTGCTTGGGGTGCTGGTGGGGGTTGGTCCCTGGGGGCTCCGTGCCATGCCATGGGTCACTGTGTGGCGGGGCTGGCAGCAGCCGTGGGGGTGCGTCCAGCGGCGAGCACCTGAGTCTTGAGGACCGGCCCCTACACGCTGCCCGTCAGTGTTCAGGGGCTGCTATCCGGCCTGACTGAGTGGGTGCCACCAATGTAGACGAGCTCACTCCTTCCTCAGAAGCACAGACTGCCCGAGGCTGGTGTCCAGGTGCAGGGCGGCCATAGGAGCTGGGGGACCCACACATAGTCCAGGAACCTTTCCAGCCCCCTGTCATACTCTGGCCCCCCAGCCGTGGTGGTGCTCTGCGACTGGTGGCCTCGTGGGCCCCCGCCATTCTGTGCGTGGGTGTGGACCTCATTCGTGCCAGCGAGTGTAGACCTCATCCGTGTCAGTGAGTGTAGACCTCTGTGCCAGCAAGTGTAGACCTCATTGTGCCAGCGAATATAGACCTCTGTGTCGGCGAGTGTAGACCTCATCTGTGTTGGTGAGGTGGTCGGGTTGATGGCCTGCCTGTTTTTTTGTTTCCCAACTGAAATTTTTTGAGAGCGCGGGGCGGGACTCACTGATCGCTGGAAGCCGCAGGGCGTTCAGCTTCCATAATGGGCCTTGATTTCGTGTGGTTTGCAGGAGGGTCAAGTGCTTCAGTCAGAATGGGCTTAAAAGTCTTTCCGTCGCACGTGGCCTGCCTGTGTAATCACACGCGTAATTGGGAGCGGGTCTGAAATTGCGGGGAGCGCAGAGGGAGGATTCGCGTTGCCGGAACGCCCTGCGCGAGGGCCTTCATTTTGAAGTAATTTGCCCTTTTGAGTTTTGAACGTGTGCGCGTGCACGTTGGGGGAGGAATCAGACACGGGCTCTGCTTGCCGTACGGTGAGACCGACCAGAGCCGGTCACCAAAGAGGGTCCCTGCACCTTTCCTCAGCGTCCCCCTGACGGTCACCCTCCCCGCCCCAGGACTGGGCCGAGCATCTCCTGGAGGCTCCCGGCCCGTCGTGGGCGCCACATGGAGACCAGCGCCCGCCCACAGTGCGGGGAGCTTGGTTAAGGAACGCCCAGCTGCCGTCCTCGCCCAAGGCCTCCCTGGCCCGCAGGCGGGCTGAGCGCCAAACTGTCCCTCTGAGTCCCGGGGGGGCCGTCCTCACCCCGCCATCTCCTGCAGCAGCTCTGCATCTGGTGTGCAGAAGATGAGACACAGACAAGTAGGCGGTGACTAGACATGACATAAACACGTCCTGCACCGGTGACAGTGAGATGCAAACATGGCAGTTACACATCTGACGCCGCTGGTAGTTCCTCGTTTGTGCTCAAACAGGCGTTCGGGTGTTCACACGTGTGCGTGTGTGTCGTGTTTCGGAGGGGCGTGCCGGCCACACCCTTTCTGCCCTGACGCGGGTTCTTGGCAGAGGCGTTCATGCCCCCTGGTGCATCGTGGCGTGTGCCACAGCAAACGCGGCTTTCCCCAGGGGTTTCGGGAGAAGCAGTAGTCAGGTTAGGTAACCAGTGCGGCTGGCCTCGGGCCTCCAGGGAGGCCGCCGATCTGCTCTTGAGCTCTGTCGCAAGTGCTGTACAGTGGCGCCGGGCTGCTGGCTGCGGGACTTGCTGGCCGGCTGTTGGAACCTCACGAGGGCCCCCAGCTACTGATGGAGTGGCTGCTGTGAGCAGTGCCCCGGGCTGCGCCCTCTCCCTCAGGGCCCAGGCTGCCGGCTCGGGCAGGAACCTCTCAGCCGGTCTAGGCCTGCGGCTCGTGGACGCTCAGCTTCTCCAGGGCTTCAGGGAGCGGTTCCTCCTGCCGTGTAGGGCTGGCCGTGGCCCGTGATCCTCTGAGGGAGGGTGCGCCCCTCATGGTGACA